CACTGAAAAATGACCTGAACTGTGGAAGCTGTGCCCAAAAATTCATTGGTTACTGAGTAATGTGCAATAGTTTATTGGAAACAGTAATATAAAGGGAAATACTGCTTTCCTTTTTAGTAATATAGTGTATAGCAAAGTTAAAGTGAACTTGTTTTTCTTCTATTACATACTCCACATATACTCCACATACTCCAGCTAAAGAAAAAAAAAACGACACAAATGCTAAAATGATTAGCCATTAAATGTACTCCCAAACATGAGCTACATAATGGTAGTATTTCGTTTCAAAGAAGTGCCAGCACACATGAAGTTATGGCTTGAAACAGCTGCAAACTTTGCTTTAAATTCAGCGTCATGGCATTTTCTACCTCACCTGGCCCCCGCAGTAAATCATCCAGCAGTGTCACGTGGTAGACCGTGTAAAACAATTAATGGCCTTGAATGCTGAAGGAATTGATGGGTCTAACGAAGGGAAGAGGAGTCTGGTGACGTCACAGACATCGACGTCACCGGACTCCTCCCTCTTGCTGAAAATCGGAGGTCACCTGATCCTGATCGGGTTACTAAACACAACTTACATGACAACCGGAGCAGATCGGATCCATTGGTTGAAATACGATGAGAGCTTTGTAAGATCCGCTCTCAGCAAGCTGGGCTTTGTCATCGATTACTGCGCCGTGCAGAGGAGACGGAATGTGAGCGATCTCATCGATTATTCTCATTCTATATTCATCGCAGCTCACAAGGAGAAGTAAATGGATCAGCCGGCAGCCTCCTCTTCAGTAAATGTAGCTCCCCGCAAAAGTGAAATCAATTGGTAAGCTGATAATCCAATCCAGGACATACAATGACTCCAGTAGGCATAGACAGTGGCGTAACAATCGCCATAGCGACCCAGGCGGCCGCTATGGGGCCCGGGCACAGGGGGGCCCGGCCAGGGCATCCCTCTGATGCCTTGTGGGCCGCCTGCGTCGCTATGGCATATCAGGGTGCTGGCTGTCACTGATACAGCCGCTGCGCCCCTCACAGCAGCTGCAAAGCTGTGTCAGTGACAGCCAGCAGCTGCGGCAGAAGAGGCCGGTGTTCGATCGAACACTGGCGTTCGCAGTGAAGGAGGAGGTGGTGCCCGCCTAAGAGCAACCCCATCTGAGACCCTGCAGAGCCCACTACAGGGAGTCTATGGTGGGCTCTGCAGGGTCACTCTCAGGTGGGCTCTGCAAGTAGCATAACTAGCAATCACGGAGCCCCATACAAAATTTTGCTATGGAGCCCTGTGATTTCTAGTTACGCCCCTGGGCAGAGAGTCAGCTCAGTTGTATTATTCTGGGTTTTAAGGCTGAACTTCAGGCAAACAACTAAATGCACAGAGAAGATACACATATAACAGATGTTTTGCATGCCAAAGGATTTGTATTTATGTCTATGCAGTCTTGACATGAACACAGCTCTGTCACACAGCACAGCCAAATCTGATAAGGGAAAGGACCTGATCTTTCCCTACTGCAGTTTCACTCTCATTTACAGGTCTCCTTCCCACCCTCACCCTGTGACAGTGAAAGTGTAAGCAGCGCTCTAATAAGCTCATCTCTCTGTCACTATCTTCCCTCCTCCTATCAGCATGCTTATTGCACTACAGTACACCTGATTAGCTCATTGTGCTGCTTCTCCATTACACTATATGAGCTCTGCTGTACAGACTGTATTGTAAACAGCAAAAAGCTTATACAAAATCAAATTCAGGTATTTACCTACGTGCTTAAAGTAATACATTACCATTACAGCTAGATTCTGAAAATTATCACAGGTGATTGTGTGTGGAGCTGTAGCCTCTTGTCATATGTCTCTGTGCTGATTAAATCCTCTTCCACTCTCAGTACGATAATCACCATTGTGCGTCAGTAGGAGGAGTTGAGAATACCCGATCTGCATGTATGTTTGCTTAGACTCTAGTGTTCCCAGAGCATCAGCTTAATATCAGCTCGGGATGGTAGTCGGCATCCTCTGTATGTATTTTCCATTTCACTTCTATGTCTCTCCTAATAAAATGATTACAGAGTATAAATGTGTATCAAAGTGTCATCTGTCATTACATACAGTGTGATCCTTAGACATTGCCCTGGTCACATCTTGCAGTGCTGGGCATACAGTGATGACATTATTTGCTCAGGGAATTCATTTACATTGATCACCGTCCATGTCGTACAATCATTGGAGTGATGGGTTGAATGATGGCGGCAAAAGCTGGTTTTGGAATGTCATCCTTTACTGTGCTAATCTATTCATTTAATTATTTATGACTGGAGTTTTGATATAAAGCCTAAGGCCGCATTCACACACGAATCGGCCGGCATGTACAGCTCCGTGCTGCGTGCGGGGCCGTACCAAGTAGCTGCCGGGACGGACAGGTGCTGCGTGTGATTAGAACGCAGCCCCCGTCCTTCTCTATGGGGCTACGCGGCCGTACGCCCCCCTACGCTCACCTCATTTGCAGGTCCGTAGCGGTGCGGGTGATCGTATTCATACTCTGCCGGAATGGAACATGTATGCGTCCCGGCCAGAAAACCCGCACCCCTACGGACCTGCAAATGAGGTGAGCGTAGGGGGGGCGTACGGCCGCGTAGACCCATAGAGAAGGACGGGGCTCCGTTCTAATCACGCACAGCACCTGTCCTTCCCAGCAGCTACTTGGTACGGCCAACTTGGGGCCTAAATTAATAAAATGTTCAATCAGCTAAATACCTTCCAGGTGCATCACAACACAACAAAAGTCATACAGTTGGTTTTCTTCAGAAGCAGCCACAGCCTGAGTAGAACAAACCTGTCTCCTGCCAGCATGCTGCAGAGAAGGAAGATGTTTGGGTTTTGCTTCACTTAGCAACATGGTGAAGCCATAAAACATACAAAACATTACACACCTCCACCTCCTGTCATGTTCTTGGGTTACCAACATGTGCCTTGACATAATTCGTAACACTATGGTGACGGCCCGGGATGAAGGGGACAGGGTTACCGGTGAGGCTGTAATTGCTGAGCTATGTTCTTGAAACGAATTAAAAACTGAAGAGGCCACTTTGGGAAACGTCTTCAACTTTACAAAGCAAGTCCAACTGAAAATCAGCCTGGAGCAGAAAGGTACGGGGCCTACAGGACTGGGTGGAAGAAGGACGAGGTCATAAATAGATGAAGTGGTTAATGAACTGTAATCAGAGGGCACTCACCTGATTGGGTAGTTATAGCATGGCAGTAAGGGGCTCCGAGCATGGTCTGTATGGTAGGGTGTAGCAGCTTCCATTCGAGCTTTGCAGACACTAGACCAACATCTTTGAAAGCATTCAATTTGATGGTAGTGAGAAATGGTCAGTGACCCCTCCGGGGTATGGCGTCCCTTCTTCAGTTCAGTCAGTTTGCAGTGATTGGTATTTGATGGATCGGCATGTGTCTGTGGTCAGTCTTTGTGTAATCTTCCCAGAGGTGGGGGGCTTATCATATGAGTTCTGCAGATACAGGAAGTTTGTTCATTTTCAAGTGTCTACAAGGATCTTCAACCAGAACCTCATGCTATTTGTTGAATTGTTCTTTAAGATGTCTTTGACTATTTCTAGCCAAAGTCTGATACAGCCACTAAATCCCAGTCTAGTGTGGTCTGGTTTTCCTTGTGTAAGAGGACACAACAGAGGTGTCGGGTATGGCCAGGCTGTAGATACATCTTTTTCCACCTGAAAACCCTGGTCATGTGACCAACTGCTACTAACTGTAGCACGACCTGAATAAATGAGAATCTTCACATATACTGAAAGAAGAAAAGTCTGAAAGTGCCGTCTTGATATTCACAGAGCTACGGTATCTATTATAATGAAGGGAGATCAAAGGAGCTTTAATGGCTCATTAATCTATTAAGTATTAAAAATTTGTGTGGCATATAGAAAAAACAAAAATAAGTCATTTGTGTTCCCATGACAAGCACATGCTCATGGCTGGGATGATAATGAGGTGTATTTGCCGGGTATAAAGACAACTCCCAGATATCACCGCGAGTATGACCCAACTGAAGATACGAGAGTCACTCTGCTGTTAAAGTTGGTAAATTGCTTGAAAGTTAAATGACCAAAGTTACCAACATGTAGACAAGAAGAGAAGAGGGAATAATGAATAATAAGTAGAATAAAGAGGGTTTATTTTACAATGATGAGGAGGGGTAATGACAGTTCTGTCAGCTGAATCCCTTGTGACTGTCTTATGAATATGACAAACAAGATTATGACAACATTGAACTCACCTTATAAATATAAAGTGAACTCTGAGATTAGTTCAGCACATTGGAAAGTGGAAACCAAAGAAGTGACACCTGACCCATCGACGCTGCAAGATGGATTCTATACCAAAGAAACTCTACAACATTCATAGATTTGATGCTAGAAGTAAACTTGAATTGTACTTCTCTGACAAGGAGGACATGATCTTTGGTGAAGATTCTTTGAAATTTCCAATGATGAATCTTCACTATGTGTTCAGCAGAGGTATGTAGGAATCTGTATATTTAATACACGAAATTCCTTTATGTAGAAAGAAATAAAAATACCACTCATAGTAGTGAAACATCCCATACTGGTCTATCAATCATTTATTGAAGTTGAAACAGGACATTTGTGGCTCAAAACATGTATATAAATTGTTAGTCATAACTTATATTGAGTGTCAGCTTCTCTTGAAGTTCTGTGAGAGACAATAAAGTCCTTTTGCTTTTCATTCTGGAATTTCCAAAAGAGACAATAGTGATTAGGGGACAGCAATGGGGATGTTGGCTACCTGTTGCCACCTCAGACTGAATATTGCCCCAACCCACAAAACAATGGATGAGCCTATTGTAAATAGTATATTGTTTATATATTGTAAAGCAATGTGAAAACTGTTAGCTGTCCTATAAATCCTGTTTAATAATAATAATAGTGGTGGATAATAGATGTAAAACATAACTGTAGCTAATTTAAATGTAGTTTGCTAAATCACTGTGTATCATAAACATTGCATTTATTTCTTAAAATACTTATTTCACCTTTTTTTTATCCTTTGTTACATCTCAGTGCTGCTGATCTCCTGAAGTGTCTTTCTAGACACTTCCCATTTAAATACACTCCGGTGATGGCTGCATGGCACTTCTCAGTGGGGGGGTTCCTGATGGTGACAATAGCGGACCATGACTGTGTAATGTGTGTTGAAATGGTAACCTATAGCCTCCATCTGAATTCTGTGTGACAGGGTGACAACACAGGAGAACAATTGGGGGACAGTGACAGAGTGTTTTCCCCTCTTATAGTAACATTGAAAGATTTTGAAAAGAACTTGAAAGTAACATGTTAAAGATTAACTGCATGTTTAGTGATTGTGTTTACAGATCATTATTTTGCACACCTCGTATGTTCTGTCATGTGCACAATACTTTTTTTTATAATAGGTTTTATCTGTGGAAATCTTTTGATTGATCTCAGCATGGGCGCCTTCATTCACCATCTATATTCAGCTGCCAACATCTTCAAAGATATTATTATTAGTTCAATTCAAGTTCAATGAAAAGTGTACCATGGAAGTGCGCAGGTGGCACGGCGATCGTACCGGAGCTTTTAGCTGGACTCACACAAAAACTGCTTTCGAAGAGTTGGAAGGAAAAAGGTGAAGTGTCTGTTGATAATTGTTTGTGATAGTATCGGGTCTATTTATAAACCTTCCACCGGCTGGAGATTAGAGGACATTTCTATACTCCTCAGTACCATCTAGGGGTAGGAAGTCAGTCAAGTGTTATAAGAAATGTAATATACATAATAGGCATCGTATTGTCTGATATTATTGTTCAACTCTGCTACATTTTGTTCATAAACTTGAGGAATTATTATGCTGCTGGCGGATCATTTTAACATCATAGTAACATTGTAGGTGAGGTTGAAAGAAGACACAGGTCCATCTAGTTCAACCTATATACAGTGT